AAGATTTTATTTATTTATTTATTTGAGAGAGAGAGAACACATGAGAGGGGATAGGGTCAGAGGACGAAGCAGACTCCCCGCCGAGCAGGGAGCCCGATGTGGGACTCGATCCAGGGACTCCAGGATCATGACCTGAGCCGAAGGCAGTCGCCTAACCAACTGAGCCACCCAGGCGCCCCAAGATCTTAAAGTTTAATTTTTATTTACTCATCCTTTTGGCTTCAAATGAAGAAACCAGTGAAAAAAAGAGTAATGACATAGTTTAACAGAAATGATATAGTTTGGGTAAATTTTCTATTTTACGTAAATGCTTTGCACTCTGCACTCTCTTCTCCTGCAAAGCTGTTTTTTTTCTTTAATGTTGAAAACCAACCCCAAGATCAGATTATTAATAGCTAACTGTATTTCAGGATCATAATTAAAGCGTAGATATAAAATAGAAGGGTATTTTAAGTATGAAATAGGAAGAAATATACCTACTTTCTTAAGCTACAAATAGTGAATTTAAAGATTTTATTTTTATTTATTTGAGAGAGAGAGCACAGGCAGGGGGAGAGGCAGATAGAGAGGGAGAAGCAGACTCCCTGCTGAGCAGGGAGCCCGATGCGGGGCTTAGTCCCAGGACCCCGGGATCATGACCTGAGCCGAAGGCAGACGCTTAACCGACTGAGCCACCCAGGCGCCCCACAAATAATGAATTTAAATCATCAACTCAAAAGTGTTGCTAACATTTAGACCTTTATTCTTAAATCAAAGAATTTCAGATTTTATCTATTTTAGAGAATTCTTCGCAATAATATTGTATCCTTTGGTACCAATAACTTTTAGACTGGAACTACATGTATCTTTTATTCTTCTAACATTATTAAAGCTATTTTAATATTTAAGTCTATTTTATTTCAGAATTACAACTTTACACTCAATACTGTCAGCTTTATAAAATTTCATTAAAGTAGTAAATTTATAATAAATTTGTGTTACTTAGGTAATCGTGCTGCCGTGTGATAAATATGCCTGAACTGCCATGCTGCCTGCAGCGCGCACCTACGTTTCAGCCTGAAATACATGGTCTTTCTTACAGGTCAGGAGGCTGAGGGCTAGGAAGGGTAAAAGACGGCGCCCCATGGGGGCCTGGGTGGCTCAGTTGGCTAAACGTTCAACTTTTGATCTCAGCTCAGGTCTTGATCTTAGGGTTGTGGGTTCGGGCCCCACATCAGGCTCCACGTGGGATGTGGAGCCTACTTAAAAAAAAAAAAAATATATATATATATATATATATATATATATGTATAGTGCCCCATGAATTAAAGAATGAGTTAAAACAAAACTAAACCAAAAATACAGCCTTTTCCCACTTTTCGCTTTAAGAAAAAGTCCCTCCAGAATCTTTCTAGATCCTTTGGCTCCTCAAATTCAAAAGTGAATCATTATATCTAAAGAAATTGAAAAAGAAGTAGTTGCCAGAAGGCTAGATATATTACAAAATGAAGCCAAACCCAAATAAACAAAATACCCTGACTAGCACAGAAATATAATTTGGAGAGGATTAAGCATGTTATGATAGCTAATGCTAAGTATAATTTTATTTTCTACCATTTTGGTAAGCCATGCACCACTTCTAAGTGCTCTGTTGGTAGGTTGTTAAAGTCTTTCTATTGATGCTCTTTAATGATATGTTGGGATAGTTGCTATAGTTTTGTTATTTGCTGCTTGTTAGCACTGTGGACTGTTTCAGGTAGAAAACTGTTAACAGGCTTGTAACACAAATGGTTCTATAGTAAAGCGTCCCACTCTTGATCTCAGTTCAGGTCTTGATCTCAGGGTCATGAGTTCAAGCCCCATGTTGGGCTCCACACTGGGCATGGAGCCTACTTAAAAAAAAAAAAAAGTATAGATCATAGAATGTAAGTAGTGGAAGTCATCCCCATGGGTTTTATTTAATACAGTATTATGCCAAGTGTATTTTGTTGTAACGGTTATTTTGCATTTTAAATTATTTTTAAAAAGTGAATTTAAATAATACATTATATGTTAAAAAAAAAAGATAGGAAGGGAAAAATGAAGGGGGGTAAATCGGAGGGGGAGACAAACCATGAGAGACTGTGGACTCTGAGAAACAAACTGAAGGTTCTCGGTGGGGGGGTTGGGGGATGGGTTAGCCTGGTGATGGGTATTAAAGAGGGCATGTATGAATGGAGCACTGGGTGTTATACACAAACAATGAATCATGGAACACTACGTCAAAAATTAATGATGTAATGTATGGTGATTAGCATAACATAATAAAATAAAAAAAAGTGAATTTAAAATATTTTTTATTCTGGGCTATTTTTTCTTAAAGATTTTGTTATTTATTAGAGAGAGAGCACTTGTGCACAAGCAGGGGGAGGGGCAAAGGGAGAGGGAGAGGGAGACTCCCCGCTGAGCAGGGAGCCTGACATGGGACTTGATCCCAGGACCCTGGGGTCGTGACCTGAGCCAAAGGCAGATACTTAACTGACTGAGCCACCCAGGCATCCTATATTCCTATATTCTTTTCAAGAATATAGGAATAATAATAATAGAAGATTAAAAAATTTTTACAGCAGTGATTTACTCCAGAATTCATGGTGGTGTTTTGCTAGTGGCCATTGAGTGTGCTTTCTTGGTCTGCGTGGGGATGTGTGATGCACATCACAGGAATCTTTGGGACATCAGCGTGGTTTGCTCTGAGCTCAGCTTCACAGTCATTGAAAAAAACATAACACTTTTTTTTCCTGGAAGATACATAACTTGTTGTGGTAGTTATTATATTATTGGAGTTGAATTTCCATGCATAGTTTTTAAAATATCAGTATAGCTTTTTGATAGAATACTTGCCTGTGACTTCTCCATTGTTCGTGTTTATGACTTGTTGGTGCTAGTTTTGTTCTTATTAATATTAGTATTACTTCAGAATGTTAATATGTTATAAAATAAAGCTATAAAGTTATAAAGCTATAGTTAATATGTTATAAAATACAAAACATGTTAATATGTTATTAAAATAAATTTAATATGTTATAAAATATATGTTAATAAAATAAAGCTAACCTGTACACTATTATAATGTAAATCAGTGTTCTAAAGAAGCCATCCTGTTAGTGGTCTGCTCGGCTTTTTGTCCTCCTTTTTCTGTTTACTGCTCATCTTCTAAGCAGCAGACCTTGAGCAGATGAATTTAAATTCTGAGTCTCAAGATCATAGATGAGTTGGCTAAAGAAGAGAAAAACAAGGGGTAAGGATCTATAAGATTTTATCCAGAACTGGAATACTTGAAAACAAAAGAAATAGATGGTGGGAGTTATATGGATTCCTGGAGCAGGGGGGAGCCCCAGATTTCTAGCCATCTGGTGCAGACAGCCCTCCCTAGTGTCCACATTACATGGCAGGAGTGAGATGTCCCAGGACTCAGCACTGTCCTCATGAGGCTCCTGCCCTTCTCGTCCCCAGCACACAGCCTTACTTTGCTGTCTGCCTTGAGGCCAGGGGGAGTAGTGCTTGCATTCTTCCCTCCCCCTTTCTGTAGTCAGCATAAGGAGCCCAGAATATCCAGGACCCTTGCATCTCAGATTGTCCCTCACATCTCTCTACGTTGCATTTCTGACCTGATTTCCCGCTGTCCCTGAGCTCCTGAAACTCTGTTTATACCATGTGGAACCATGTAGATCTAAGAGCTGCTGGGTTACAGCAGCAGAGCCACTTAGATCCTCAGTCTTCTCCCTCTTGCTAGAAGAAACTTGGCTCTTCCAGCACATACTGCTTCTCAGTCCCTCGCAGGTGGTAGCTGTGTTCTTTCCCACATCCCTTACTTTACTCCTGCAGGAGTTTGGACAGGCATCCTCTCGTTCTCTTCTGCTGCTTTCACACACTTTGAATCTCATCTCATTAGATCGTGGCCTGATTACTTCTCTCTTTTCCCTTCATTCCTCTCCTTCCAGACAGTTCCTCTTCCATCCTTAAGGTTCATGATCATTCTTTCTTTGTTTCTTTTTTTTTTTGATCAGTCTTTCTGCCACTATGCCTGTCGCAACTGGGGCTTTCAGTGTCTGTGTGGATGACCTTTCCAGCCTGCTCCGCCATCCATACACCTCTCTCGATGGTCTTCCTCAGCCGCTGGTCGCCTGGGGCCACAGTGCAGGCCTGTCACTAGTGGTGACAAGTTCTTGTGCGGTCTCACCATCAGTCACCCTGCTCTCCAGCTTGCTGCCTGAAGTGTGCCATGC